ATTGTGAAGGCAAAAAAAAAAAAAGAAAAAAAACCGATAACAACAACTTTAAAACCATGTCAGTGAGCTGATTATTTTTCTCTCCTCATCAGCATCACACTCCTTTTCTCTTTGTTTTTATCTTGCCCTCCTAAAGTTGGCTTTTTTTATTTACTAAATGCTACAATTTATATTTTAATCTCAATATGTACACATTCATTATTAATCCTGTGCCTAACATGATGAAAACGGCTTTGTTCATGTTTCTTGTCCCCTTACAATGACAGTAGCCTAAACTACGTTACATAGGCCTATTTTCAGTTCAAAATGGCGAAATTAGACAAAACTATATTAGTTTGCCTAATTATTTTTTGTCATACGTTTAACATTTATGACCTAAAAAACTGTCAAATATATAAAGTTAATTTTAGTTACTTACATCTTCTCGCACTTGACCATACACTGAAGCGTCGCCATCGAGTTGCACTGTTAAAATTCGCGCTCAGCGTCTGTGAACATAACCCGCCTAATTTGATTTGATTGGTCATCTCAAATATTCTGACATTGACGAGCGGTGACAGACCAATGAGGCTCTGAACACATACACACACACGTCCTCTGTCGTCCTCTGTTTCTGACGTGCTCTCTGCTCGGCGCCGCTGGGGATTGAAGAGAACACGCTGAATCTTATTATAACAAGAAGTTTGATGATTGATTTTTCATTAGGCTATTTTTAGTGCCCCCTCAGCACTTGGTGCCCTACGCACAGCGCGTGATGCACGTGGTGGGACGGGAGCGGCGGCGCTGCTTGTAACATGAAATCCGGTGCGCTTGCGGCATTCTGAAAAGTTTTCATCTTGTTGTGCCTGGAAACAATCACTTCAATTGTGAAATAGCAAACTTGAGAGCGCAAAATACACAATATGTGAACGGCCCTACGGCGTTTATTTAGTCTCAAAACTCGAGAGCAAAAAACTGTACACGGACAGAATACCATCCACGCGTGGGCGTGTTTCTGCACAGTGAGCGCGCTCGATGCCATCCTCACGCGCGGCCCCTTGACGGCCACGAGCTAGTGGAAGAAACACTACTTGTTCACGCTTGCGCGCATACTGCTGTTTTAGCGCGCAGTGTTTTGATTTGCTTATTTCCCATTTGTTTGGTGGAGGCAATCCAAATGACCCCCCCCCCAATAACACTAGTATATAGGGCATAGAGTAATGAAAAATAAAAATCACTAGTGACTACCACTGACAAGGCTCAAAATATCCCCACACTAACACAGTAGCATAATGAGGGTCCATACATGCAAACCGAAGCATCGTGAACTTTATAAGTCTACAGACAGTTTAATAAGAATATACTTTATAAAGACAGTCCACTTCGTGTATATAGGCAGGAGCCATCTTTGGAAAACAGTCTACAATGTTCTTCCGGAAGACCCATTATTCGGTTTAAAAACGCAAGTTTATCATCACTCGCTAAAGCGCGCAAAGCGTATAGAATAAAGCCTCACATTGATAAAGCCTCACAAATAACTTGCAAGTATTGAGGCCACAGACAGCAGTCATTTAGTAATACCCTATATTATTTTCTTCTTCTTTTTTAAACCTACACACCACTGTGAATATTTTTGTTTTATCATTTCAAATAGGGCCAATTTATAGGCTTCTCCTAGGCTTACGTTTTTAAATTACAAAGGCACTACTGATGTTTTTGTTATTGTATTTTCAATATTACAGGCTATTATTTGTGCATAAACATATCTGGTTATAGTAAACATACCGTTTGTTTGAAAACAACATATTTTGTCATATTTGCTGGGAAAAAGTATCAGACAAGAGTCGCAGACAAAAAAGGTTGGGAACCACTGCTCTATGTAACCAAAGTGTAAGACCAAAGGTTCATCTTGTGCCGGAGTAGTCCTTTAAGTGCCTCTTTATAGAAACATGCAAACCCTCTTAGGCTATATGTGTCTCGGGACTTAATGGACCACAGTTGGAAGAAATGCAACAAGGGAAATGTTGGGGCATTACGTTTTTTTACTTTTTGTCAACGGCACCTCAGAGACACAAATTTCTTCCCATGACCCCTATTTACACTCATTATAATGTATTCTGGAGTCGTTACAGAAATAAAGGCAGAGCTCTTAATGCTTACTTGTCTGTTCTTCTGTGAATCTCAAAGGACGGATCTCAACTGCTACGCTCTCTCACTGTGGTTGCCAGGATATGGCTTTTCAGTTGCCAGGATACAGTCCCATCCTACTGGAGGATGAGTGCTCTCAGAGGAACCAAGTAGACTTCTGTGGGACCTACAAAACATCTCTGGTTTTTAATGGCAGGACCTATAATGAGTGGTCAATATTTTTAGCAGATATCATGTTTATATATATATATATATATATATATATATATATATATATATATATATGATGCTTTCGGATCACAGATGCCATTGGCCTTAGGTTGATGGCTGGAATGTAAGCGAGCATGAATGAGGACATTTTAATAAATTAATAACACGCGTGTAAGGTGGGCCTTTACGTGGGCCTTTATCAAGGCTGTGAATGAGCAAGTAACGTTGCATAGGAAAAAGGAAACCCCTTCTTAAAACTGCTGACTTTTCTATGAAAGTTTCTACCAGGGAATAAAAAAATGAGAGTTCATACAGTATCTCGCAATTTTGGACCCACAAATATTAGCCTATTTCTCGCAATTCTGAGTGGAATGAATCGTTCTCCCCTCCGCCATGTTTAAAATGTAACGTTATAGGCCGGCGCCCAGTTGTATCACAATTATCTCCGAATTTAGCCGTGTTAAATAAGCTACTAACGTTACATCAGACAGTGTTGATGTGCAATTTTTACCTAGGAAACTCCTTACGATAATTCCGATTGAAGACTAAGTGAAGAGACAAATATCCAGTTAAATCTAACAATGACGGACTGAGGCGTTTCTGAGAAGTTACTGAAGTAAGTTAACTAAAATGGAGCACGGTATTATGTGATATTTTTTACAACAACCGTTCAAAAAATGAGTAACTTACATTTTAGACGTAACTTTGTCCGTGTTTGTCTGTAATAAAAGACAGACATCCATGGCCGTTTCACCAACGTGCGAGCAACACAGGTGTGATGTTTTGTTCCTGGGTGTGTTTGAACAAACCGCGGCTAAATGATTCAGTGATTCTTTTTTCAAAAGTTGTTGCATACTAACTCTTGTGATTCCTGCCATAGAAAAATACAGTAAAAAAATGTTGCCAGGAGTAGATAATATGCTGCAAATCCAGTTTAGTTACTGAAAGAATCAGCATTTTGAGTAGCCTAAAAATGATTCAAATGACTCACAGTCACCTGTCGCCACCTACTGGATTAACGATGTAGCCTGTCGTGCAGAACAATTCTGCTGTAGGCCTATTGAAAAAAAAAATGCTTATTGACTTTATGGTAGCACCATATTTCATTTTTGACAGCAGGAATGAAAGCAAGGCTGTGAGGGATAGAAGCACATTGGAAAATCTGTGCTGTTTTAAACAGAATAACTGAGACATCATAGCTTTTAAAAAGATAAATTATAATTGCTGTGAGATTGGGTTAGGAGACTGCCCTGCTCATTTGGCAATGGAGGTAAATTAACCAAGACACTGTGCAGACCCCTGGCTGCTTTGATCAAAAATAGCACGGACATGTCTCAGAAGGGTCTCGTGCACATGCTAATCTAATGAAAGATATAATCTAATGAAGTTTTCTCCATTCATCTGTAACTGAAACAGTGAACACAATTTCACCCACCTTCTCTGTCAAGGCAGAAAAATAAAGATGGCTAATTTGAACAAAAAAGCTGATATTAATTTAGTTCTGGGCTACATTGAGCCTGGTTCTGGCACCCTTTAGGTTATTAGCGAGATTCACACGGGTTTAATAAATTACTGGTTCACGGTCATAGTAAATACACTGGCTCATGCATTTATTTTCCATTTCAAGTCATTTTTTTTTTTTTTTTTTTTTTTTTTTTTGCAGTTAAGGGTAACTGAAACCAAAGCAATGCTGATAACAACAAACATAAATTTCCAAAATCTACCATTTTTGCCATATTTTTTAAAGCAGGCTAAATTAAGAACTAAGAACACTACAATTGCTACAACTGACAGGATGTGACTGGAATTTAAGAAATGCCTTGCACAATACATGACTGAACCCCTTCACTGCACGTAACACGGATGTGCATGCTGTTTTACGTTACAGATTACTAGGGCTGTTAATTGATTTAAAAAAGGATTAATCAGATTAATTATACAATATGCAAATTGCAGATCCTAATTATTAAATGTAATATGCATGTTGATTAAATTAATCCTACTGCTCATAAAACATTCACAACACGGCTTAAAGACCCTCGGTGGGGTTTACGGACCCTTAAAGTGCCTTTGCCTTTCCACTGAAACAGGAAGTTAAAGGGATAGTTTACCCAAAAATGAAAATTCTTTCATCATTTAGGCTACTCACCCTCAAATTGTTCAAAACCTCTATGTGTTTATTTTTTTTCTGCTGTACACAAAGGAAGATATTTGGAAGAATGTTTTAATCAAACAAATCTCAATCCCCATTGACTTCCATAGGAATAGGGGTCTCTTGAAGAAAAAGTTGGGAACCACTGCTATAGTCCAATGGGGCACCAGGGGGAGCAGCACCACCCCATGCCTACCCTCTAGAGATATTCTAGCAAATTCAGTTTCATGCCGACTTTAGCATTTGAAATTGGCATCTAAATAGCCAAATGCATCCTTTTGTTGTTTCATGATTCCATTTTTCAAAATGACTTTAAGAGTGAAAACTAAATGTATATTTACTTGTGCTCAGTAGCTCTCCAAACAGAAAGCCTTTAAATGCTTTCTCTGTTTTGACTGGGATCGCGCAGTCATATGAAAGAAGACACTGTGCAATGCCTGGATGGAGCATTGGCCGTCCCGAACCCCCCTCGAGTCCCCCCGACACATTATTCAGAGGGGCGGGACAGTCAGAGAGAGACGCTGAAGAAATCACCCGCTGCTACTCGTACAGATGTTGACAGGGCTCGTGCAGTGCAGCAGCATCTTCGCATTTCACTGTTTTTGATAGAGGAGTCGCTCACTTTGTACCTTCATCATGGGAAAAGTTGAAGGCGGAATGAAATGTGTGAAATATCTCCTCTTCGTGTTCAACTTTATATTCTGGGTAAGTAGCCCAATACGGTAGTGTTGTATTTATTTACATGCCACCATCATGTGGCATTTTAGTTCTCTATATTTTGCGATGTGGAGCCAGTTTTGCGGGCACTTTCAAGTCAAATATTCGTTCTGTTAAGAGTGTTTACACACCTTCTGCAGGAATTTAAAGCTGAGAGTCACTGCTCGTACGACTCAAATCAGATTTTCCACTGAGGAAAATCCGCCCCTTTTTCCTTCGGCGTGTGTTTGTTTTGAGGGCAGCAGCCGGACACTGACGCTCTGTAGTAAGCTTACTGGGTGTTTTGATTCTCCTCACTGACTTCGAATCTTTTGAATGAATCTGTTCAGTGAATACATTCGTTTAAATGAATTCACTGACCCTTCTGCAGGTTATCGTTACTTATGCCAGTTGGTGGCGAGCGGTGAGCTTTGTTTATTATGAGTAAATCATTCATTCACTCATTGGACAGTCCACCGTGAAATCAAAATTGACCGTGTTTTTTTTTTTTTTAATCAAATATTACAGTATTTATTATAAATTATATATGCAAGCACTTCATTATTTTGAAATTCATGTTCCCTTGTATTCTTCAGTCAAAGTAACTTACCCTCCCTCTTTTCTCTGATGATGGCTTGAGGGCGGGGCAACCTGTCACTCACATGAGATCGACCAATAGCAAACCTGAACCATCCAATCAATTCCCGCCCTACATTTGTTCTTGTTCGAGAAACGTTTCACTCAGATATTTAAAGAGTTAGTTCACCCAAAAATGAAAATTAAGTCATTAATTAATTACTCACCCCCATGCTGTACCAACCCCGTAAGACCTTCGTTCGTCTTTGGTGCACAAATGAAGATATTTTTGATTAAATTTGAGAGCTGTATAACTACCACATTGGCTGCCTAAGGGACTGCCTCTTGACGGCCCAGAAAGTCAATGAAGAAAATGTTTAAATATCCCAAGTGACTACCGTGGCTCAACTAAATGTTTATCAAGCGACGAGAATACTTTTTGTGCGAAAAAACAAACAAAAATAACGACTTTATTCGACTATTCCTTTCTTCCTTGTTGGCCTGAAACGAGACTTCCTTAGATTTCCACGACGCATGCGCGAGAATTGCGATCTCCTTCAACTACCTCAGTTCAGTTCTCGCGCATGCGTCGTGGAAATCTAAGGAAGTCTCGTTTCAGGCCAAAAAGGAAGAAAAGGAATAGTCAAATAAAGTCGTTATTTTTGTTTGTTTTTTCGGACAAAAAGTATTCTCGTCACTTGATAAACTTATAGTTGAGCCACTGTAGTCACATGGAATATTTAAACATTTTCTTCATTGACTTTCTGGGCCGTCAAGAGCCAGTCCCTTAGGCAGCCAATGTGGTAGTTATACAGCTCTCAAATTTAATCAAAAATATCTTCATTTGTGCACCAAAGACGAACGAAGGTCTTACGGGGTTGGTACAGCATGGGGGTGAGTAATTAATTAATGACTTAATTTTCATTTTTGGGTGAACTAACCCTTTAACAATAGAGAGCCTAAGTCCCTCCCCTTCTGGTCGACCACCATGGGACCTTATTTCGGAAAAATATTGAATGGTAGTCAATGGCGAGAGACAACAAATATTTTGATCTCGTTTGAATTGTGCCCTGAATTACACATATGATGTTTGTCAATTTAAAAGATACATTTTAAAGTAAAGAAATTCACAGTTTTATGTAAACCCGTTGAGGTATAAGACTGTGAAAATACGTAATTACAAAGACTACAAACCCCAAAGGCGCACATTTTCTCTCAATGAATGAAGCTAACTTTACTGAGGCTGTCTGTCATTGTTTCTACAGTCTTACGTTATAATCGTAATGTTAGGCCGTCATACCTGAGTGTTTTGTACCAGACTGCACACACACACGAGCAGCGGATCTCGTTTCGCTTCCCGGGAGATGTAGTTCACAGAGCGATTTTCACATAAAACTAAATGTTACTCTTCTGTTGTATGACAAACTGCGACATTTTTGACTTTCAGAATTATCTTTTAAATTGACAAACATGTGTAATTGAGGGCACAGTTCAGATGGAATAAAAAGATAAGTTGTCTCTTGCCATTGACTACCATTCATATTTTTTCCGAAATAAGGTCCCATGAGCCGGAAGCGGAAGGGTGAGACTTAGGCTCTCTATAGAAAAGAAAAGACTTTCGTTTCATGTTGGCTTTAATGCCCTGTTGGTCTGTATCCTAGTTAATGAACGAGATTCGATTAATTTGTTCATAAGCAGGGGCAGTAAGTTCATTCAGGAAGGACGGTTCATTAGTTCAGTTCAGTTTTTATGAATTAATCCTATTCAATGAATAATTGAATAGAGTGTACTTTTAAACTAGACTTTAAAGTTAATTGACAAGTCCCAGTTCATTTGTTCAGAAGCGACTCATTCCATGAACAGTGTGTTCGTTTGTTTGGCATATACAATTTTCCTTCACTGACTCCACTTGAAATGCTATTTCATGCAAATAGCCAGTCTCTGGTGGCAGTCCAGTCAAGTGCTTTAAAAAGACTTAAGTCAACTAAGTGCGTGATAATGGTTTCTACTTTCTACGTTTAAAAGATTTGTTAAAACACTGATTCATTCATTCATGAATGAAACACTGCTCTGCATATATTAGCATTAACTAAGGCACAGGAAGAACAGTTTAATGAAGGCCTGACTATTTTTCATTGAGGACACTTATCTGATTAACAATAAACTTTTGTTACATATGATAGTTCATGGTAAAAAAAAAAATCTGGAGTAAATATGCAACCTTTATAATAATCATATAGCCATGTATAATAACAAATTCTGAACGTGAGTGATAGAATTATTGCTCTTTGAATAAAATATTAGAAAATCTGGTGTGAAAAAAATGGAATGAAATTAAATACAACAGTATTTATATTTTGGTGTTTTTTTTTTGTTTGTTTGTTTGTTTTTTTGTTCTCTGAGCCTTGATTCATTTCTTACCTGCATGCATGGTGGTAAACCTGGACATCAAGAAATTTTAAAATAGTTTTTTACAGACGGGAAAAAAACACAAAAAATAATCAAATCTTTAAACTTAACTGTCACAATATGTCTATAGTGAATAATGTCATGGAAATTCATTGGTCAAAGGGTTTGAGAGCTCTGCTCTTGTGTATCTGTTTGGTGTAATTTATTTGTCCTGTTAACAATAATTGACATGAATGTGGTTTCTACACATCTAAGAATTGCACAGAAACGCCTAGATTCCCATTAAAGCAAGTCAAAAATTTTGAAACGTTTTCTGTTTCCACAATAACAGAACTCTCGTAAAACTTTATTATTTTGTATTACATTACCATGTCCCCTACATCCCCCCAGTAACTGGTAGCAAAATTTCATTCTCACAAGCTCTTGCGTTTATTCTAATCACATATAATTATTTATATTTTATACTACTATGTTTACTCTTTGTTACATGTACTACTCTCCCATTGTGTGCAATACCTCATGCAGTATTTTACTGCCTATTAATCTGTATGATCTGCTATGAAAGATCTGTGCAATACTTGACTGCACACTATTGCACACTTCCATTAGTATGAAAAACATTTTAAGGACAAACATATTTAAGGAGAAAACACAAAACTGTATAAATTCAAAATAACTGTATACAGTGTCAACACTGTAGAAGAGTTAAATTTGTTATTGCTTATACATCCTAGTTTGTTGTAAATATAGTAAGCTGCATACACTCTAAAAATATATAGTTTTCTAAGTTGTAAATAAAACAAAGATTATTGGAGTATGTTTTACAAAAAAATACAAAACAAATTTTAGCATGTTGGTATATTAACATTATATCAGTAATGGAATATAAAAAGTATTTCTGTAAATTTAATTCAATTCAAATTTATTTGTATAGTGCTTTAAATAATATATAAAACCTAAAATGTTCTGACACAGCTGCCATTTTTACTGTAAAATTCACTGTTTTTTTACAGTGTATTTAATATTTCTACTTCAGATATTCATGTTTAATTCAATGTTGCTTTGTATATTTCTGTGAAATTTAAACAAATAATTACAAGGAAAAGCAAAGTAACAGAAAAATACACTAAAACAATGAAATTTACAGTAACAAAATAAGTTGTGTTATATAAATGATCATATAAACACACTGTATTTAAACATTTATAAACTGATTGGCAAGTGATTTTCTGTAGAACATTAACATCACAGATATTGTCAATATATCTTAATGTGTTTGTATATTGTATATCGAATCCCTATGAATGCCAAAAAACACAGTGTTAAATCATAAATTATATAACTGTTTTATTGCGGTGAATTTCAGTGCATTTTAATATTTCTACTTCAAAATTTCATGTTTGATTTGTGTTAATTGTCACTTCTTTGTAATTATTGGTGACATTTCCTAGCAATTGAAAAGCAATTGGAATATCAAGTTAAAATTGTTTATAATAAAATCCTTTGGCAGTTTTATCAAGTATTTTATTCTGAACATTCATTTATCTGAGTGTCTCCAAAGTTATCCCAAAACACATTTCAGTCTCCTGTAGTATTCAGTGTAACTTTCTCCACCACAGCACCTGCGATGTGCATCAGCGTGTTTTGAATAAGGCTGTGTGAAACAAATTTTCGTATGTCAACTTCCAATCTCTGCTGCTTCTGTGAGGCTTTGGTGGCTTTCCTAGGCCATCCACATGGACAAAGCTGGGATTTGAGCTCCATCTCCATTCTGGATCCTTACTGAATAAGGGACTAGTGTGAATAGAAATGTTTTTTAAATGTTCTTCACACTAAGAAAAAAAAGGGACATATTATGCTTTTTTACAACTTTCTTTACTGTGTAATGTTGCTATTTGAGCTTGAAAAAGCTCTGCAAAGTTACAAAGTCCCTCCAGCGAGAGTTATTCGCTACATCAGTAACACTGTTTCTGAACTCCTTGAAACGCCTCCATTGTAGTCTTCCATTTTCTTCTGGGAACGAA